CTGGGCTTTTTAAAATATTGACTTCTATAGTTTTTATATTACACAGTGTAGATACTATATACATTTGCCTATCTATAGTATTAAGAATATTATATCACCCCCTGTCAATATTGGCACTATTATAACATGAGTATTTTAGTAATGACGTATATAATTTACTGTTGAATACTGGTCAAGTTTCCCTGCTGGAGATTTTATTATACACTTAATCCACCAAATGCTCAGTCAGTCAGTTTCACACTCAAGTTACTAAAAGTCGATGAAGGTGAAGACCAGTGAAACTCTCATCACTCTTAAACAGATCCACTCTGACCCTTGGACCTACCTGCAGCAGGATACTTGCATGCACACAAACGGCCCAATTATTTAAATTCCATCACTGTAACACATGGCCGTGTTGGGCGGAAATAATGACAAGGGCTGAGAAGGGCCGCTGATGCGAACCAGATGAGGCGCTCTGACTTAAAAGGCAGAGACGGAGGAACGCGAGCAGAATGGGACAAACTGAAAAGACAGGGCAGCGCACACAGTGAGAAGGACTGAGTGACTTTGACGTTCACGTCAAATCATCCATACACACTGACGACAGGTTCACCCAAACAACGGCAGTGCTGTAGAACTTGTGTTTTGAGATACTTGTCTCTCTCCTCTTTGTCCTTGCACATGGTGCAGGTGCCTTATAATCCTGTAGGGGCACAATGCAATTTCTTCTTACATGTGGAATGATGTTCTTGGAAACTTAGTGGATCCACTTTATGTGAGCAGAGTTGCAGCGAGCTTGGCCCTCGGCCTGCCTGCGCCCTGTTTCAGCACTGCTCTGGCCACAAAGTGCACATCTCTCTCATGCGGCCCCTGACCTCCTGACGCATTTCCTGACCCAGGAAATAGAATTAACACCTCAGTCGGGGCCTCGGGGTCCCACAGCCGCATACACAGCTGCGCTTTGCCCTCGCCCAGTCCACTCAGCCAGCTAGTGCTCCATGACAACTCCATGAAGCTAAGATGGAAAAGGGAAGCAGTAGATTTTTCTTTTGAGCATGTGAAGAGCTTATTCCACCGCTATTTTTAATGTCTTCGGTTGGTTGAGGAGTTTTAGTGCTGTTGCAACTTCAGCAGTAACTAGAGCCAAATGAGATATATTTACCTACTTTATAATGTGTGGCCGGGCCCCACCATGAAAGGCTCTGTTTCTTTTATTACTTGTGCTAATTTTATCCTCAAAACAATGCAAAAGAGGATAGCAATTCCTCCTTGACTAAATGTCACTGTGATCCATTTCTCGGCTGAAATCCTGAGAACGGGCAATAACAGCTCATGCAAGCCAAAGTAAAATATAACTCAAGGACCAGCTACGCATTCGGACGGAGATTCATAGTTGTTATTAAGTTGTTATTATGTTTAGCGTTTGTCTCCCAAACTCCCAAACTGAGGAAACCTCATCTCAGTCAGACCCATTGTTTTCAAAAGTACTTTTAATTTGGAATCCCAGTCAGGTAACTCTGAGCAGCCCACTCTTCTAATGCCCTTCAAAATAAAATAAAAAAATCTATGTAAAATGAAATGCAATGCTTTCCACCGGGGGTTTTCTTAATAATGTCCAGTGTCATAAGTGCAGTAAATCTGAGGACTGGGGTTTAAGGAGAGAAAAGTGGATTATCTGTTTATTAGACATTTTATGTGAACCATATATCAGAAGAGATGGATCTTGATATTCTGAAGTCTTAAGAGCTTTATCTGTTTTCTTCATTAGTCGAAGGCTTTTATGCAGGCAAGCAAATACACACAATTTCACTTGGTCCCTCACACACACACACACACACACACACACACACACACACACACACACACATAGAGAGGGAGATTATCCAGTTCCTGCATATAAGCACCCCATGTGTTTGCATTTAAGTCACACATTGCCAATCTCATGGGAGCACTTTGAAGCATACTCCTCCAGAGCAGATCATAAAACAGGAGTATAAGTAGTTTTTCACATAGTTGTATCCCAGAACACCCCACCACCAGCGCCACCTCCCACCCAACAGCTCGCCGCCGCCTCCACCTTCCACCTCCAGTCCTTTTACTCTCCCAAGTGCGGGGCGAGCGTTTTGGCTCAGAGGTCGGCTGTGACCGTGCCCCGAGCCGCTCCTCTTCCTTTGTTTCTCTCCAGATGTGGCAGAGAAACACTCAACAGTTCCGGCTGTGGTGGAAGTTTCCCATCTTTTCTTTGCAGTGCCCTGCACATTTTACCAAGCTGACTAGCATGTCTGTGCTAACATCAGAGAGCGTGGAGGCAGAAAGAAGCTGCATATGAGTTGAAAATATAAAGAATTGTACCTTTTAAACTTTAGTAGGAGGTTTGCAAGAACCGTATATAAAACACACACCTGGTTAAAAGTGTTAAATGTGGATTCAGCTTGAAACCACCATGCGATGAGTATGTTTCCTCCCTTTTCTGTCTGAATGCATCTTGTGTCTAGAACTGAAGCCTATGACATTTTAACGTGTTCCTCTCTCTCTGCAGTACTTCGAGGTGCCCTTTGACTCCAACATGAACCGTACGAAGAACCGTCCACTCGTCAGAGGACAGATCAGGTACAGTTTTCTCTCTTTGCGCTTATTTAACAGCATTTGTCTCTTGTGTATCAATGGTGTATTTGGCGTAGCAGCACCATCTGTACTTTTTATTTCTAAAAAAAAAAAAAAGACTGTGACGAAGGACCGGGGGGTGTAATGGGCACAAAAACAGCTCAGCATGTTTTTTTCAAATTCAGCTGTCTCAGTCGAGTCGCATACAAATAACAAATTCTATCACTGCTGCCTTGCTCACTGACAAATACAACACTAGCAACGAGCACACCTCCAGTACTGATTTAGAAGGTTTGCTCCTAAACTTCAGCCGTCCACTTTGCGTCCGGTCTGCTGAATCCTTATGGAAGACGAGGACTGTAGCTGCCATTAACAGAAATACATGGCAGCAGTGATGTCCCTCTGCGTTACACCTGTAAGATGTAACGTGAGCTCGTCACCAGGCTGGGGAGAAGGAAGGGGGAGGTTGAGGTTACTTGAGCACCGCTCGCTTTGTTACCTCCACTATCTAGATGAAAGATTAGCGCTGCATCGGTACTCGATGAACTGCCTGCATCACCGTGTTGCTACAAATCTTTGTGAAACTGCTACCGTTCAACAGCAGACGGAAAATTTAATGATGCATGAACCAAATAAAAAACAGACACATGCCCTCTTCCCCGTTGTCATCAGCAGCAACATTTCACTTCTCTTAAAGGAAAAGTTCCTCATCCCCCTATTTCATTTTTATTCAGGAGAAACACGAGCAAACAGCTTATTGACACGAGAGGATTGGATGTCTCTGGGATGCTAAATACACGTGTTGCCTGCTGATTGAACACTTTGTTAGTATCATAACTGGACCCTAACCGACAGCTAACTCATCCCAGGTTCAGGGATTCTCCTTTGACATGCTGTTTAAAAGTGGCCTCTCCTGCTGCTGAGCTGGTAATTGAAGATGCTCTCTCACTGTCTAAACACAGCGTCCTCTCTCTGGCTTTTAGTGTGTCGCTGACAAAAGGAGGTGTGCGTCTGTGAGACACATAGAGAGTCTGTATCTTTCGCCCTGTCTCCTTTCTCTCTCACACATGCAGCAAGCAGATGGGAGGCTGGAGCGACCTGTCAAACAATCCGTCAGACGGCCGTATTTTACACATTTTCCATGTTGTTTTCAGGACGAGGCTTTTTATGAGCCCGATGATGTTCCTCCACTACATCTGCCTTCCTGCGCGAGTCTGTCTGCCCAGTATGATGTCAGCATCTGAAATGGTTTCTGGTTTTATGTTGAGACTACAATAGTGTTTTCCCACCTTTTATTGCTCTTGTGTAAAATGCGAAGTGCAGTTTCCCATCCTCAGTTGTGGTTTTGCAGAGTTTGAAGCTTCCACATGTGGTGGATGCTAAATAGCTTTCAGATTTGTAAAGGAAGGAACACAAAAGATACATTTTCTTTAAAGACAGACGGTGTGACACACAAACCATGTGTCACGATTTTGCCCTTGTTGGATCAGGTCATTTAGTCTGGAACGGTTAGTGTTAGTCTTCTTTAACAAAGGTAGAAAAAAAACAACTTTAATGCATTTGACTTTCATGACTGCAATCATGACGGTCTGAATCATTTAAAAATAAAGATTTTTTTTTTAATGGCTGAAAACGGAGAGAAAAACAATGAAGCAGTGCAGCGTGCTGTGAATAAGTATTTCATTATCCTGCTCTTAGTGCAAATACACCTTCAAGTCTGTCATTTACCAATTCATCCTAAAGTTGGTGTTTTCTTTGTCTGAAGTTTCCACTGCTCTCGCTGCAAAGGAAAACTCCTTCTGGATGGATTTATGTTGCAGTTTTTGGTACTAGCCAAAAACAAAAAATATGTATTTTGGGACATAGCAGTTCAATATACAGTACTAGTATTTTCATGTTTCTAGAATCTATAAGTTCTCCATTAATCCCTAAAGGCAGCGTCATGAAGGCCAGGCTGAGGAAAGTCATGGTCAATGGTTAATTCTCTTTTACCACTTGATTATTTAACAGTTTTAAGTGGATTCATCCGGTTTCTTTAAGCTAATGGGTAAAATCCCTCATGTGTCACATTTGGATCCAAGGCCTTGATTGTTTTCTAAGCAGCTGCCGACGTCATTGACTTTCTGTGTTGACTTTACCCACCTGACATTATGACCGGGCTGTGTCAGAATGTAAGCAGAGGACAGTAAACCCCCCCCCACTGAGCCAGCCCACAGCCAGACTGTCAACAGCCCATAGCCAGCCGGCACGGCCCCACCTCAGCCCACATAAAACAGACATAACACCACTAATCACATTAATGTACCAATCTCTCTGCTCGGCCACGCCACCAAAATAAAAGCCCTGTTTGCTTTTTTGAAGAAAAGGCCTGTGTTTGGTCAAGATTTTAATCTGCCCTCTCTTTAATTTATGGAGCATTTACTGGTGAATTTGAACCAGACGCTACCATCACTGCTTTCAATAAAAGATGAGGGGCGGAGGTGGAGGAGGAAATCTTCATCCGGGGTAAAAGCCTGAGCCACAGCGGTTTTCTTCAGCGAGTTTTGATCTCTGGCGTGTGCACATGCTATTCATCTTGCAGGGCTGCTTTTATCCCCGACAAACTCTTATCAGATGAGCTTCCTCTAAGCCTCCCGTTTTGAGATTCAGCCATGCACGGCGGCGGCAGCGGCGGCTGACTGTCAGTGTGTGGCCTGTGTGCATGTGTGTGTCCAGGAGATCAGGTCTGACTACCTGGTGTCTGCGGGAGCCCACAGACGTTTATCATCCCGTAGTTCCTTTGGAAATCAGAGGCTTTTGTCTGTGCCTGAATTTTTTGTTATGTAACCTGTATTTAAAAAAACATCAGAATCTCATCTCGTAAACTTGCTTTTGTATACATTGAATTGTTCCTTGCTGATTTAGCTGATTATCATGTCCTCCCCCCCCCCCCGTCTCTCTTTCAGTCCCCTCCACGCGGTGTCCTTCGCTCTCGCCTGTGGAGTACCCGGAGTCGCTCTGCTCACGCTGGCTGTAAACCCGTTAACAGGCTTCCTGGGTGCCCTCAACATCTTTCTCTACACCTGCTGCTACACACCTCTCAAGAGGCTCAGCATCACCAACACCTGGGTGGGAGCGTTGGTGGGCGCGATACCTCCTGTCATGGGCTGGACGGCTGCCACTGGGTGTCTCCATCCAGGTACGACTTCATAGATGCTCCCACTCAAACATTTATGAAGCAAAGAAACCGAACATTTGTTGGATCCAGTCCCTCAAATTGGTGGATTTGCTGCTTTTCTCTGTTTTACATAATTTTTTTGAATAAAAACATCATTAAACAAAACAAGTACTTTTAAATAAAACGCCACGCAGGACTGAAAGTGAATTGGGGCTTTTCAAAGTATTGATAATTTCGATAAAACCAAATGTCCAATTAGAAAAAAAAGCCATTTTCTTTTTAATCTGCAGCTGAAGCCAAGTAGCCATTGAATTTATTTAGTTTAGTTTTAATTTAGTTGAAATAAAAATACTTTTTTTTAGCAAAAGTACCAAGACCTTATAGGTTGGAGCTTTTCAAAGGAGATTATTGTGCTTTCTTATGTTGTATTACATTGAATATATTTGCGGTTTGAAGTGTTGTTCGGAAGCCAATCATTTCAGAATGTCACCATTTAACAATTAATAAAGAAAAAAGTGAAAAGCAGATACTGATAACACCAGTGTGAACTGATGTTCTTCACTGAGTTCACTGGGACGTGTCTAACCAGGCTGGATATCACGCTACACAAAGTTTTATTTACGCTCAGCCCAGAATCCCTGTAGTGCTGTTAGTTGTCCTTGTTCCGCGCTCCTGCAGAGTTTGACGGCACTTACTGTAAGTGGCTTTGGACAAAAGCATCTGCCAAGTGACTGTTACGTTAAGTGAAGAGACGGAGACCGTGCTGGCGTCTGATTCCGCTTGTTTGTTGGACACATCTAAGTTTTCTGTTATGACAACTGTATGAAATGTGTTTTCTCATGTCGCTGCCACATCCCAGCACTCGCTCAGGTTCATATTTATATCAGCCGCCTCATTCAACATGTTTATTGAGTTTACTGGCTTTTCATCTATAAATTAAAATACTTTTATTCAATTCCATCACTGTGTTTCTGAGAGAGCCACTAATTCCATAGCAACTCGTCTTCTTCATTAAAGCCACAATCTAGTCTGCGCTGAGGCTCAGCCTTCGACACGAACTCTTCCTTCGAATGAACTGCATGTTATCAAATGATTAACGCCGCAGTCGGCAGAGGAGCAAGAGAACGAGAGAATTTGAATGATAGAGAACCGGCTGCGGTGCACACGCAGGATAGTAACCGCAGTAACAGACAAACCAGGAAAACAACACGGAGACTGAAAATGTACTAATGCAATAACACAACGCTAACCACCAGTAGTGGTTGTAACGGACAAGCTAACGTTAGCCCGCCTGTGCTATGCTACAAACTGAAAATAAAAGAGCCAAAGCATTTTTCTAAATATTGTGTTTTTTAGAATAAAAACAAAGTTTTGCAAAGTGGTTGGTTTGTTTGAATAAATAAATAAATGTTAAAGCTCTTCTGTATATTTCAGCACTTGGTGTAATGTTTGAAAGCTGAGTATGAATTAAAGAAGCGGCACCTTAGTTTGACTCCCTCAGACTCTGCACTCTGCATCATTAATCCTCTCCCCCTTCCTCCTCCTTTTATCTCCCCCCCGCCTTCTCCCCCCCACCAGGTGCTTTGTTGCTGGGTGGTTTCCTGTACAGCTGGCAGTTCCCTCACTTCAACGCCCTCAGCTGGAACTTGAGGGAGGACTACTCCCGTGGCGGCTACCGCATGATGTCCGTCACCCACCCTGGCATGTGCAAGCGGGTGGCCCTGCGCCACAGCCTGGCTCTGGTGGGCCTGTCGACCTTAGCGCCCCTGTTGGACGTCACCACCTGGACTTTCCCGCTCATCTCATTACCCATCAACCTGTACATCAGCTACCTGGCCTTCCGCTTCTACCGCAAGGGCGACCGCAGCAGCGCCCGCCGGTTGTTCTTCTGCAGCCTGTGGCACCTGCCCATGCTGCTGCTGCTGGCGCTCACCTGTAAGAAGCCTCGCAGGGAACAGGAAGATGCGGCGGCTCCGCCTGCGGCTGCTTCTTCTTCCACCGTCGCTCTGCAGAGCTAACTCCTCTAACGCCTCAACGCCTCTGAACTGAACTGAGCTGCTGCCTCAGATTTTCTCGGACCACTCGTCCTGCTGAGTCGGGGGCAGGGTGATGGTCACGTTATTTTACCTGTTTAATGGAAGCCAGTGGTGCTCACTGCAGATCAGGAACGATTGTGATCAAAACAGCCGATTTACAGAAAAACACACTGAATTATTCCACCACCTTGTGATCATTTCAATGTGTGTGTGTACTGTGTATATTCTGTATTTATTTATAAGGGGCCCAACAGTTCCTCCGTGTTGTACAGCGTACATTGCTCCTGTGGATCCACGCAGCAGCTCCGTCTGCAGATTTACCCGATGCGTTGTCGAAATGCAAATTAGAAGATGGACACGAAACCAAAAGATTTATATTTGATTTAAGAAAATAGAATATAAACATACTCAGAAGCATTTTGCGACTCAGCGATTTCAGTGATGGGTCTGTCTTTTACGTGATGGTTTATTTCAACACGGTTCACCGGCACCAGAACAAACGGAACGGTTGACTCCTGCAGGAAAACACAAGAGTAAACGTTCTCTGAACAATAAACAAGTCATGATTGTGATTCTGTGTTTTGTGTCATCATTGACTCGTCCGCTGTACCTGAGGTGTGAGTCTCATCAAACACACAAACCTTGTTAGTTTCTGCTGAACCAGATTAAAGTTCAGCTTTAGTGGATGTGTTCGCTTTAAGCACCAACGGCCAATCGGTCCAGTAAGTGTCGCACCTGTCGCTCGCCATGTGCTCCCCTTCCGCACTTCACCCCTAGTTTTGGTATTTGGTTACGTTTGCGTCGCTGCACTTGAGAGAAACAAGCGGCCCCCGTTCCCCTCACCGCCATCCTCCCTCCATAAAAAGGGCTGAGGGATTTAGTCAAGGCCGGGGAGACCTGAAACGGAACGACATCCTCGTAAAGTGTCTGACCGGACGCGGCGTTTCATATCAGAGGGTGAAAGGGGGAGAGATCGAGCCACCTGTTACAGTCGGGCGGAAAAAAACACACATGCACCAAACCTGTGTGTAGAATGACGTCATGGTCCGTCGTGATTCACGCTATCTGCACCTCAGCTCGTGATGCTGGAGAATATAAATGAGGTTAAGTTAGATTACAACTGTTGAGTCTGGTTCTCCAGGTTTCTTCTTGCCGAAGAGTTTTTCTCCACAGTTGCCGAAACTCGTCACTGGAACTGTTGGAACTGAACATTACTATGTAAAGTGCCTGGAGATAATGTCTGCCGTGTGTCTGGAGATAATTGGAATTGAATTGGAATGAAAACACCTCCACTGACGATGAGTGAGAGGTGGAAGTAAATTCATCATTCTTTTAATTCTCATTATTCAAAGTTGACTGTTAAAGTTTGGGGCAATTGGGAATTATTCAAAAACTCCAAAAACCTAAATTTATACCAACTGAGGAGATGAAGTACTTCCTCCGAACACAGTTTGGACGTTTTACTCCAGTTTCTCACCTCGAATCTGAGTTTGTGTCTCAACTAGTTCGATGTATAGATTCTTCACTTGTGCCCATAAAGAAACCGGTTTGCAGCGATAACGACATTTAATATTTCAAACATTTTTGCATCCAGCAATTTTTGAAATGAAACTTTGCATTTTCATAAAAGAAATCTGGATTATTTTTAGTAGTTTGAGTTTTTTTTTTTTTTTTTTTTACATATTCATCTGGAGAAGAAAGTATTTGAATGACGTCAACAGAAAGTGGCAGTTGACCCCTAAATAATTTGACATCTTGCACTTTGAATTTATCGCATTAGCTCTCGTGAGGGGTGAAGAAAAAGTGGAGAAAGTTCATGTTTTATTATTTCATCAGCCAACAATATTTTATGAGCTCTCTGGTTTCTGTGGATGACAACACGGAGCTTTCTCTCTTTCCCCCTGATATCAGTCATTACATCATTAATGTTATTTGCTCCGTCTCTGAGTCTCTGAGCTTTTTTTCACGCCAGGGTCAACAAAACCGAGGAGGGAAATATGCATCTGTAAACAGGAGAGAGCGTCCCCGAGCGGCAATGAGCACTGGGGGACCCCCACCACCATGTGCTTTCATATCCGCACACATCAGATGAACAGGGGGGGGGGAGAATAGTGAGCAACAGATCAGATTCCAAGATTCTTCAGAAAAAAAAAAAAGAGGGCAGTGAAGTCTCAGGATGACGGATGACCTCTGGCCTCTCCTCGAAGGTTGGCTGTGGCAAGACAGGAACCAAAGAGCTGCAGTTTAATCCTGCAGCAGTATTTAACCCAAACTACACAACAACCAGCAGCAGCAGCAGGAAAACGTCCACAGGCTCCTGCAGGATGAAGCACAGGATGAAAACTCTGCTGGGGGAAAAACAGATCAACAGAAACTCCAGGAACACGACAGGCCCATTTATTTTTACATTTTAGATAATTACATTTTACGTGTTTCAAATTATTATACGAACCTAAACCTCTGTTAAAAGACTCTTCTCTCCAGGACTCAGTGATCATGAGTTTCCTGCTGTTTTTACATGTTCATGCTCGTGCACAGTGGATGTCGTGCACGTGGACACACTGTGGATCTATTTCCTCTCAGAAGATCCCGAGGTTGCGTCATCTCACGTTTCTCATGAAAACTCCTCGCTGCAGATTTATTTTATTCTCCTTTTCTACATTTGAACATCAAGTGAATATTCCAGGTTTGCAGGGTTCTTCCTCAGGAACTTGGAAAAAGTTTAACGTGTTTGAAAGTTTGAATGTCGAGACCAAAAAGTTTTCAATTGGTTTTTTACCAGCTATTAATCTTATTCTATTTGTTGGGGTGATTTAAAAAAAAAAGTGTAATAAGTTCAGCGTTTTTTAGAAGAATCCAAATTAATTTACAGCCTATTAATAATTAAAAGCTCTGAATTACTTAAGTGTTTTTTCTGATTATTTGCTGCAGAACTTCTTCGAGTTTAGAATCACAACAATTGTACGTCACAAATAAAACGACAATAAATGACGTAAAAACCACGAGAGTGAGTTCAGTGTTTTATTTTTTATTATTGAATTAAATTATTACATTTTAATATCGAACTGGAGAAAATTTCAGATCCACGGAGGCACGGAAATGGATTTAACTTGTTGACGAAGTGATTTCAACTTTGCAGTTTCACACCAGAAAACTTTTATTGATTTTAACACCGAGAAACAGAAAAACACTCACATGTAAAAAAAATTTAAGTAACAATAATTAATTTGTAAAGAAACTTTCAATGAAGACTAAATGAGATGTGAGCCTAAATAAATAAATAACATCATAAATAGTCCTACAAACTATTATTATTATTAATATTATTTAGGCCCATTATTGTTCCAGCTGCCAGGGTGAATAAATAAAGTAAATGAAATGATTATAAATTAATTAAGTAATTATATAATTAACATGAATTAATGAATCATCTGTCTGACTTTGCCTCAGCTTGTTTGAATGTTTAATTATAAAGTGAAAGTCGTGACCTCTCCTTCGCTTCAGTGTCCGAAGTAAAAACTCAAACTTAGTTCCAAGACAGAAAAGAGACAAAGTGGAGCTGAACGTGAGTCTGTGGAGAAATGACTCGAATTCTTCTGAAGTGTTTTCATGAGATATTTTTTATTTATTTGATTGTTTTGTTCACTGAACAATTAAAACTTTGTCTTAATGAGCAGACACGTGTCAGAATCACTTCGCATTCAAACCTGAACTCATTTTAAATTAATCTGAATCATCCAAACACGTTAAACTTCACTCTGTTGGTTTTTTACGTCCAATTAGAAACTTTTTCCAAACTTTCAGCCGCACGCGCTCGTGCTCGGCCTGGCCCCGCCCGGGCCTCCCTCTGATTGGTCCTCTCCTCTCAGCAGCCAGCCGCTCGTGGACCTTCCTCGCGGTGTGATTGGCTGCTGCTGCCGTCACTCTCCCTCCCTCCCGGTATAAAGCCTGGATCTCCATCAGCGGCTCCAACGAACCTGAGATGATCCCGGAGCAGCGCAGCAGCAGCGGCGCGTCTGTCGCAGCTTCCCCCGCTTCACAACCACAGCCCCGCTGAAGAATATTCCTCCATGCGTCTCCATCCCTGGATGTACCGCTTCCTCAGGTCACATGCGCATTAGTGCTTTTATTTATTTATCTTCAGATTCAGGAGAGCATGTGCGTAATTGCGCGTGGATTGCCGTGGTGCCACCGGGAGTGAGTTGGGCAATATGCGCCGCTGGGATATGATTTTCACCCGAGAGGCTTATGGAATATAGGCCGGTGTGTCACAGCCTGAATGCCCTGTGCTCCAGCCCCGTGAAGAAGAAACTAATCCTGCTCAGCATCATGTTTTTCATCTGGGTGTACATGCTGTACTCCTGCGTGGGCTACTGCTCCACGATGCCAACTTTGGCGGTGGACGGTTACCGGGGCAAGGAGGCTGACTCCGCGGTGGGCAAGAGGACAGAGAGCGGGGGCACAGACCTGGTGTCCCGGCTGCTCGCCAAGCCGCAGCCGTGGGAGGATGTGGAGAGCGACTACGAGGAGCCGTCCGTCCGCACCGGCGCGTCCCGGGACCTGCTCAACGAGGAGCCGGACGCGGACCGAGCCGAGGAGTGGGACGAGGCGCGCGGCGACCAGCAGAGAGCCCCGGAGCCCAGCGCCATGTCCAGCTTCTCCAACGGCTCCGGGAGCAAGAAGCTGCCGCAGGCGATCATCATCGGGGTGAAGAAGGGAGGCACCCGGGCTCTGCTGGAGTTTCTCCGGGTTCATCCGGACATCAGGGCCGTGGGAGCGGAGCCGCACTTCTTCGACCGCAACTACGAGAACGGACTGGAGTGGTACAGGTACAGACTCATTTATTCTGGGTGATGGATGAATGTGCGCAGAACTAAGAGAAAAGGCTTCTTGGATCACGATGGATGATTTTATTTCTTGGCTAAATAGATGAACAGGAGAACTGACAGAACAGAGCTGCAGCTCATGATCCAATATGTATTTTTATATTCATTTCAGTTGTTGTCGTTCGAAGGGTTTAATAGTTTTCTTCAGTCGATCACTCGGTGACGTTTACTCCAGATTAGTTCACAATCACAATCATTTTAACCTCGTAAATTTAGTGCAAGTTTATTCTATTATTTTTCATTATCATCCAGCGGGAGTTTGAGTTTATTCCAAACGAATCCATGAAACCAGAAAACACTGGGTGCGTATTTACGCACCGGGCTGATGTCACAGATTATTATTAATTAAAACTCTCAGACGATTTTTTTTTACGTGTGATTGCAGAATAATCTTTTTAAATCATGTGTGTATTTAATTTGTTTTAAAATCCTGAAACGTGTCAGACTGAAGCAGCTCCAGATCCCGGTCATGTGTTTGTGCGATGTGCAGTGATCTCTATTGGACACAGAGCAACACTGCACCTTCACCGTGAAGCGTCCTCCGACGTGTTTCTGTCCAGTTACATTTGAGTTTATCTGCTTTTTTAATACTTTGATGCAAATACGTTGCGTTATAATGAATTACATTTAATTTGATATCTGGTGGAGTTGTGCTGGTTCCAGCTCTTAAAACCTTTGCGTTTATTTCGAC